TGCTGGTGCCGGCGCTCCCCGGAAGTTGCGCGCCGGCCTAGTTGCCGGCCAGTGCGATGGTCACGAACCTGCTATACGAAACCGCATTTCCCGGCGCGCTGCATGCAAGCCGTCCGATCGACAGCCGAGCGACCAGTCGACGGTTCGAAGGATGTCAGTGGGTTCGTGGGTGGTGCCCAAAGTTTTGCTTACAGGGTCGGTTTACAACGTGTAACTAAGCTTGTTCAGAAGCCTCCTCTGGGGCCCGCCTGTTCTGCCTGCTCCATATTAAGATATTAGCAAGCCTGGTATGCAAACAAGTTTTCATAGAAACCCGCTTAATTCGGGTCAGTAAGTTGTGGGCCTCCCTTCGATTTGTCAATTGGCTTCTGTGTACCTTAGTCTTTCGACGAATCATCTGAGTCAAGGATCTCCTGTGCACACATATGTGTCGCTTTTACCGGCCTCTCACACAAGTCAAGCAACCTGCGCTGCCATTGCAGACCCCGTTCAGTCCGTTCTACCAGCTACAAAGCTGCAGCATCTAGCTACCAGACTTACCAGGTCTGCCCCGCCGCCTACAAATGAGAATTGATTATTAGAACGACCGGATCGAATGGTGCTATTGGAAGCATTCCTGAGAGTAGCAACTCAGATGCGATTGTACGTGATGCCGTCACCAGCTTTTCAAATAACATATTCAAACTGTTCTACTGTTCGTGCACAAATTGTTCAGTTCAAACTCACCCTTAAACATGCATGTCGTGCACAGATTGTCTGATTCGAGGTACCGAATTCGTGAAGGACAAGTAAGCTCCAGCATTTCAGACATTTCGGTCACGCAATGTCTGTACAGACCTGTCCAACTGGTATGACTTCATTCAATATTGAGTGGCAGAGTGCTTCGTAGTCTGCTTCCTTGCCAGGAACATTACTTGTCCTTGCTCGCCAAGCGTCAAGCGCCAAGATCCGGAGCGCCCCCGCTGCTTCCGCCTGCACATTCTCATTTTTGCTCTCCAGCAGGCCCACCATCCTCTCCAGGAACCCCGGCACAGCGGCTATGGCACTACTGTTGGCTGCATCATGAGCCAGGCTAGAGAGCGCCCAT